GGTGGGGGGGCGTCATTTTATGTTGCCACTGCTATTTATAGAGGTTTCACCCAACAAATGATTATCAAGGTGGCCAGACTGAGAATAGCTAGAGAGGGTTTGTACGTACCTACATCCTAACAGCCTAAAATGATATTTATTTTTTTAGCATGTAAGTTTCATTTAGGAAGGCAGACATCGTCTGTAATAACTTTTTAGTAATCAGTTCTCAAGGGCTATATTTACAATTCCATGGCACATTCAATTAATTTTTTTTTCCCCCTAAAGAAAGGATACTTTCTGCTTACCTGGGCAGGGGGGGCACTCAGTTTCCTGGTCTTTGGCAGACTGAAGGAACATGAAGGGTTATCTGAAGAAGGAACTTACTTCCACAAAAGATCCTGAACATCTGGAAAATGTGGGTCTGGCCACTTCTGCTTCTTAGCTGGCCCAGGTGGCATTAATCAGGCAGGTGGCAGACAGAGGGTATGTGTGTGTGTTGTCAGGGCACTCCTCCAAAGTGACTTCACTGAAGTCAGTGCTCAACTCAGTGACTTTTTCAAAATTTGTAAAAAAATAATTTCACTTAGGGCCGCTGGATTTTAAAACAGTTGTAATTCTGATACTACTTGGCAATGGGAAAGAATGAAACCCTGCTATTTGCAACAATGTGGATGGAACCAGAGGGTATTATGCTAAATGAAATAAGTCAGTCAGAGAAAGACAGATATCATAGGTTTTCACTCATAACAGAAGACCATGGGGAAAGGGAAGGGAAAATAGTTAAACAGAGAGGAGGAATCAATTTCTCTGAAATGACAAAACGGTAAACTGAGGGTTGATGGGGGGCGAGGGGAGGAGGGAAAACGGTGATGGGCATTGAGAGGTACCTTGTTGGGAAGTACACTGGGTAAGTTATGTATGCCTGATGAATCACGGGAATCTACCCCCAAAACCAAGAGCACACTGTATACACTGTATGTCAGACAACTTGACAATAAATTTTTGTGTGTGTGTGTGTGTGTGTGTGTGTGTATTTATATATATATAAAGTTGTAATTCTGAAAGAACAGCTTGGCCTTCTCTGCAGGGCTTCCCTCACTCACTTCCCTTATGGGGTGGTGACCATGCATCCAGGAGGGAAGCACAGCCAGACTCCTCAATTTCCTCTAAGGGAGGTCAGTCCTGCCATCTGCATGGTGAATGAAAGTGTGCGGATCTGCCTATCACCAGCAACGCAGCCTATCTCCACTCCTGATCTAGGTCCAACCTTGACCATAAGCCTAGTTGAAAGTTTGCTATTAAGGGACGGTCTGAAAACCCTGCAGCCTATCCCTTCCACTTCTAGAGTACAGTTCATCACTGCCTCAAGTCAGACCAGCAAGCTGCAAGCTGGTCCACACTGTTATAATCTTCCGTCCACACTGTTATAATCTTCTTATAATTACTGTTATAATCAAGTAAATCTTTCAATTTACTTGAAATGAGTTTTGCTTGGGTGTTTATCCTTTGCTTCCAGTGACTAATGCTGTGAAATACCAACTGGCAAAATCCAAATTTCTACGTATCCACATAGAGTTGGAATATTGTTGAGGACACATCATTTGGTGGTTGCCCCTAAATACAGCTCCAAGAGAGAATGTTTCTTTTTAATTGAGGTATAATTGATATACAGCATTATAAGTTTCAAGTGTACAACAGAATGATTCAACATTTGTGTATGTTGCAAAATGATCACCACAATAAGTCTAGTTAACATCCATCACCATACATACAAAAGTTTTTTTTCTTGTGATAAGGACTTTTAAGATCTATTCTCTTACCAACTTTCAAATATGCAATGTATAAGGAATTTTCTCTATACAAAGTCTAGTGAGTGTGGGCTCTGTAGCTAAATGGCCTGGATTCAGATCTTGACTCTATTTACTTTCTAGCTCTTTAACTTTCTATGCCTCAGTTTCCTCATCTGCAATCTAGAGATAATGATACTTAGCCCACTGAATTTTTCTGTGGATGAGAATCAACAGATACAAAGTCTTTAGGACAATGCCTGGCAAAAAGTTAACACTCAATATTCATTTTTATAGTTACTTTATAAAGAAGCCCTAGAAAATCCATTACATACCGCAATGAACTGAGAGGCTTTTGCCTCATGCATAGTGTGATTCATATATTGTAGGGTTATAAAACCCTTTGCCCTCCCAATGTCCTCTAAGTCCTCAACAATGACAGTGGCTTTCTACAGCACAAGGACCTTCAGAATCTAGGGAGGGTGAGGTTAGTCAGAAGCACGTATAGTTTGTGAACATCTTTTTAGGATTCTGAGTTGTCCTTCCAGGGATTTGTGCCATTCACCCTAAGAATCCTTGATGTAAATGATCACCTAGAGGCACAAAAATAAACCTGCAGGTCAATCTCCACTACTGTGCAGAGTTTCATGATCTGAAAAGTCATGTTTCTTTCTTTGCCCTAATCTTTTCTGATTCTTGTCTGTTGTCCCAGTACAGACAGATTTATTAATTATTCTTTTATATTTTCTGTGGTTTAAAAAAGAAAGCTTTTGTTCTCATAAGTCTTCTAAGATCTTATATAGAACAAAGTAGGGTATAAAATAAATAATACAGGAGGCACAGTGGCTCAGTCAGTTAAATGTCTCATTCTTGATTTCAGCTCAGGTCATGATCACATGGTTTGTGAGTTCGAGCCCCACATCGGGCTCTGTGCTGTCAATGCAGAGCCTGCTTGGGATTCTCTCTCTCCCCCTCTCTGTTCTTCCCCCACTTATGCTCTGTCTCTCGGTCTCTGTCTCTCTCTCAAAATACATAAATAAACTTAAAATACATTAAAATAAATACAACACATGTACTTCTCTGTTTCAAACTCGGGCGAGTTATGACAAAACTAAGCCTCCTTACTAACATGAACAAATTCACAACAGGCGTTGGAAGCGGCGTGGGCACTAGCAAGGTGGCAGACAAAGAATGCAGTGAACGGTACCCCTGAGAGGTAAAAAGGGAAAGCACAACTTGGGTAATATTGCAACCTGGCCTCCTGTTCCTGGTACCAATCCCATCTTCCTCCGGGGCATCCCCCTTCCCGCCCGCTCTATTTCCCAGGCCATCACTCCCCAGCCCTTCAGGGCAGAGGGAGATGGGGCTGCCCACTGCCCCTCCTGTCCAGCCTTTGCTGATAAGCCTTGTAAAACACCTGGTAGCAAAGCAAATTATTCCCAGCCCGTCTTCCTGTTTTACTGCATCCGCTCCCTGCCACAGAATTTATCTTTAAAAGGCCAGCATGTCAGCAGCAGCCCAAGGACTTGTTCAGAATGCCACTTGCTCTGGAATGGCCTTCATCCTAGGAGACCGTGCTTAGCATGAAGCTGAGCAGACCAGGATCGGCGGAGGCTTCCGCTGCGAGCCCTGACTCGCGCAGCATTGATGGCGATATGGCAGCAAAGGAGTCAATGTTTTCAAACTGCGCGGTGTCTCCCATGTAACGACTACTAAGGGAACTTATTTGCTGTTTTATTCATAGACACAGATCTGCTTTGGGACTCAGAAAAAATATCCAGGACCAGCTTGCAAATGGAAATGAAATATGAAGAATGAAAATGCAGAGCCCCTGTTCAAAAGGCAGGAAGAAAATGCTGTAAAAAGTACTGAAACAAAACTGTTTGCTTTCTTGTGCATTCTCTCTCTTCGCTCATTATGGTGTTTTTTACTTGGTATTTGAAGTCATGCTCCCTTGGGCAAAGGGATACGTGCAGGGTTAAGTGTAGGCACTCGCAGGTGCCCCAGGGCCCTGCACGCCCCCACAAACCATCACCTTCTGGGCTTCCCCCATCCCACCAGCTGCTGGGCCGATGCTCCATGCCCTGCCCAGGAACAGGGAATCCCCTCTTCCCATGACCGTGACCCACAGCAGACAGGTGACCCCCAAGGGTATGGTGACATCTGTGCCAAGCACACTAGTGCTTAGACTGTGGACGGGCAGGGCCTCACCCCCACGGGACACACCTCTGTGCTGTCAGCCTGTGCTGGGCAGGCCACTCTCTCACCCCTTTTCAAGATGCCACGGGGGCATGTGTCCCCAAGGCGAACCCTCCCCATGTTCACAGGCCCCTACTGGAATGGAAGGCACCAGTAACTGTTGGACGGAAGCAGGTGTGAGGATGTTTGGCAAGGCCCGAGGTGCCAAGGAGACGGGGAACAGGCAGTTGAGAACCTCTCAGGGAGGTAGGGAGGCGGCAGGACTATGCATAAACCAAAGCTCCAACTTCCTGGGGCATGCTCCACGACCCTGTTGGACTTCACTTACAAAAATGCAAAGTTAAAGATAAAATGATTAAGAATTTCAAGGTGGTGACCACACAGCATTAAACCCCAGGCACGGGACCTCGTGCAATTGCACTGGCCATACGCCCATGGTGGCCTTGCTAGTGCCCCACCAAAGGTCAAGAAGCAAAAGTTTACTCTCGTTTTCTACCACAAATCAGGCCTGTGTTTACGAAAATGACAGCAAAGGTGTGAGGCTGTCCTGGGAGAGGCGGGCACGAGGAGTCCTGTCCCACCTGTCAGCCTCCTGTTCTGCAAGGCAGAGCTGCTTTGTCTCTAAAGGCTTCTGAAGCCCACCCGTCCGAACAATAATTTCAACCTACTACATTGTGCAAAGAGCCGATGCAGTGAGATGCAGGCAGTCTCGACGATCATGGAGACCCTCCCAAGCCTAACTTCTCCTGGGGATTTATTTTAAGTGTTGGAGATTTGGAAAGAGAGAGGATTGAGGAATAATTACATCGTAGGTGGCTCTGGGTTGATCGTTTATAAAAACCGAGCCATTTCCAAAGTCGTTACTTTGCTGCAAGAATATAACCTGGCTGCTGAAAAGCGGGTTTCATACGAACCTTGGCTTCTGGGTCACTATTGATACTGCAGGAATCGTCGTCATCAGCATGGGGGGCATTTCTAGAGAGAAAAACAGAAAACTGGACTTAGAATTCTACTGCAAACTCCAGCTGCACGAAGCCACGCATGGCGGCAGGTCCTGCCGATGTCCTACCTGAGTTTCAAAGATGCATAGCGGAGTGTCGCTCCTTCAAACTCTTTTAAACTGGGGTCCGGGTTAACTGTAGCTGCATGCAAATCCTAGAGGAAAATAGACCCCTGTTAATGGGGAAAGGGGGAAGGCCCGTGACATGGCCTCAAATATCAAAAGGGAGAAGAGTCCTCCCGGCATGAGGCAGAGAGTGTATGTGAGCTTAGGCAGGAGAGGGCATGCAAGGACCGCTGGGTGCTGGCTCGGTGCAAGCCCCGGTTCGTACAAGACAACGGGGAGCCTGGGGCAACCGGCTTGCCGTCATTCACAACGGGACACATTAAATAAAGGCAACATGTGTGTGAGCTGGACATCCCTAGCAAGAAGCCCCATCACTGCGTCCCTGCAGAATGGATGATATTCATGAAGAAGAAAAAGATACAGCCACAGCCACAGCCATGCAAAAAGGACGAAATATTAAATGATCTAGAATCTGACAATATACTTGCCTTCCAAATGTCACTATTAATCTTTCCCCCATTCAGAACAGCAAAATCACTCCATGGCTGTTTCTAGACATATAATTATTCACATAGGAAAAAGCACATTGATTTAAAAAAAAAAAAGGAAAGAAGAAAAGAAAAAAAAAAAAAACACAAGACACCGTTGTTAGCATTGATATTCACAGGATGGGTTAGGGAACAAATTCACTCTACCAGCAGCTTGTTAGCCGGCTCTAGGTCTAGATTATCACCTGCAGCCTAGAGCAAGGAGGATAGAGACGCAGTGTGCATTACTTACCACGGCAAACGACTGAACACTATTAGCAGTCAGTGGTCTTCCACACGTGGCCTTAAAACCACACAATATGCTGTCAAATACTAAATGCCTAGTGCACCTAATTCCACAGAAAACCTTCTCTCTTCCGGTAACCAAACAGAACTGTCTTCTTGAGGTGGGGGTGGAATTAGGGATGGTGCCTGTCGATGTGCACATCTGAAAACTGGGGAATGTCCAGGGCCAAGGGCATGAAAAGCTGGGGCTCAAATTATTTTCACATAAAAGGAAAAAGGAGGACAATGAGAGGGAAAGAGGGATATAAGAAAACACAGCCCGACGGCCACATCTGCCGAGATTTAACCTGACAAAAAATAGCTCTACACAACCTAATGTAAACTCTTCAAATTCATCAAAAGCTCTGCTTCTTTGCCACACAAGCTTCTTCATGAATTAGTATTTGATCACAAAAGGATTCTGTAAACATAATCGCAGAGCAAAGCACCAAGCCTTGCCTTGTTGGGAGAACGCTTGCGATAGATTTTTGACTCTGAACACCCATTTCCATTCGCCTCAGGCGACAGGCAATGTTGTTTGTGGTCTTTTTCTTTTCTTCTATATTGAGTGAATATTCAAATATTTTTCATCTAACATTTGGGGAAATAAACGAAGCACACAAAACCCAGGGACAGCCTTGTGTATCTGTTCCACTGATGTGTCAGGCCCATAACCTCTCTTCTTGGATGATAAATCAACCATGGAGACTTTCCACCTAAGTCCCTTCAACTGAGGTTCTTTGAAAATGAGAAGGGAATAGCGACCCCTAATTTCTGCTCATGACATTAGTCTGATTTTGACACCCACTCAAAGCCAAAGCAGCTAAGTTCAAACGAGCCAGGTGTTGAAAGAGGTGTTCAGTCAACTCCATGGGACTCAACGAGAGCAGAGACACTGCAAATACAAATTTGTCATCACTATTAGACAGCTGCTAACACTGTCACTCTCCTTTTTGGACTAAGCATCTGAACTGCAGGTTTTCCAAATAAAGTAGGACTTAGATCACTATATTTACTTTTTAAACAATCATCTGTCTTTCGTTGAGCAAAAGAGCAGGAATGCTGCCTCACCCTTTGCCTCTGTCCTTCCTCCATCCCCAAAAGCAGCATCCAGTTTTCACTGCTGAGAAAATTAATAACACAGCTGAGGTGACCTGTGAACCCCCTGAAATCAGGGTGGGGTTTTGTGTATGTGTGTTTCCTAGGGGAGAAGATCCTCAATTTTTCTCATTATCTGCAGAGGGGCCAGTAACCAAGAAAGGTTTTGAATCACCATTGCAGGGGTACTCATGATAAGGACGTGAAATACCAAGAATTCTGAGCTAGAATTTTTTTTTTTTAAAGGAAAACAAGCCTATTTGATCCCAAATCATCATCACTGTTTACATGTGAGCAATATTTGTTTTTCACTTCAGTTGAATGTTGAAAAAGGATATCAGATGGTGAATTAGTAAGACTCCAGGTAATTATGTTCTTGTAGGAAAAAAAAAAAGAGTGGGTCTGATAAAAGGAATCCGAAATCAAATTATCCTCAACAGACACTCTGTGGGACTAGAAATAAAGAGTATTTTTGCAAAACAAGTATTCAGAAGAGTCTTTGGCATTTAATTAAAATAGTTCTCTGTATGTGTGTATGGTTTAACAATTCTTTTTAATGTATTTACCCTTTGGATGTTGGGTCCCTATAACATAAAGGTTGATTATAATTCTAAGACTGTATGAATCCAGCTCTTATGCTACGGAGACATGAGTCAGCTGGCAAATTTCCAAAAATCACCTTTTGCAGATTTAAGTAAACAAAGGTCGTATACAGCAATTTTTCAAAAGCTAAAATAACATGGGTACCATTAAAGAAACCCTTTAGTACAAAACTCAATAAGGACTAACATGTTATGACTAGGACAAAAGACCCTTTTCCCTCCTATATTAAAAAACCCTCATTTTTAGAAATTCTCTTCCCTGTATAAGTGACCGTAATTTTCCTTTTTTAAAATTAAGGGCAACAAAAGATAAAAACCATCTGTCTTGAATTTTAAGAACTACATATTCTATTCATCTAATTTTTAAAAAATGTTTATTTATTTTTGAGAGAGACAGAGTATGAGTGGGGGAGGGGCAGAGAGAGAGGGAGGCACAGAATCCCAAGCAGGCTCCAGGCTCTGAGCTGTCAGCACAGAGCCTGACTGCCTGTAAACTCAGAACTCATGAACGCTGAGACTATTGACCTGAGCCGAGATGCTTATACCAGACTGAGCCACTGAACCCTCATCTAATTTTTTAAAGAGAGAATACACCACTTTAGCTAATAATTTTTTTTTTTAATTTTTTTTTCAATGTGTATTTATTTTTGGGACAGAGAGACAGAGCATGAATGGGGGGGGGGGGGGCAGAGAGAGAGGGAGACACAGAATCAGAAGCAGGCTCCAGGCTCTGAGCCACTCACAGAAACCCGCCTTGGAGGCTGAACTCACGGCATGATGCGTGACCTGGCTGAAGTCCCGGACGGCAACATTCTGCCACCCAGGCGCCCCAGCTAATAATTTTTTTTAAAGAAAACAACCCAAAGAACTTGTTTGGTTCTACAGAAAGTCTGCAGCCATCCCGGTCTGCAGTCTGCATGGTGGGAGTGAGAGGTGAAAGAAAGGATGAGACAAAGAGAAAAACAGTGAGAGAGGGAAAGGCAGGTGGGCAATTTGCCTTAGGAAGGACAAGACTGACAGGGGAAAGGCCAGTGAAGGAAGAACAGAGATCATTTTCCATGAGCAATGTCCCCCCAGCTAATAATCTTGCAGGTGATGCAGCTAAATCTTGGCACAGTGGTGTTCTGGTGCCAGTTACAGGGGTTTCTCCGGGTGCTTCTCTCGACCTTGACCAGGTGAAGTACCCCTTATCCTGATCAAAGTGACCATGCTGAATTCTGGGAGAGCTGTGGAGCCTCTCAGCTCCTCAGAGGCAGTGTGTCCCTGATGACTGACCCAGCCCCTGGAGCATGGTGCTTATCATGACCCTCCATGACCTTTCAGCATGGTGCCGTTCACGGCCACACAGCAGAATCTGTGTGAGGATGGACCCACGAAGGGAATCCAATTGTATACCTTGACTACTGAGAGTTTTCTTCTTCCTGATTTCTCTTCTGAGATCTTAGAAAGCAAATCCACAAGTCAAACAGGAAGGCTGCCCTGCTCCTCTGCTGGAAGCAAGCTTACATCATGTTCTTGAGGATGTTCGAGGGGGAAGAGAAAGCCTCTAAGAAGTGGTATCAAAATGTAAGCTGGAGAGCAAACACGGAAGGTGAACCTGCTGAGAACCAGGCAGAGAGCAAAGCAAAAGAACGAACATTCCGTAGTGACTTTGATGGAAGGTAGAATCATCACCTCCACGGGCACTTCAGAAGTTCTGCAGCAAAGCCCGCATTCAAACCCTGCCTCTGCTCTCATCTGCTTTGTGACTTCAGCTCCTTGTCTATGAAATAGGGCTAAACCGACCTCACCATCAGAGTGTGGGCAAACTGAGATTACGAACACTAGCAATTAGCACAGGGACTGGCTGCCCGAAGGTGCCCACGGTGACAGTTTCCGTATCTTCTACTCTTTTCCATGGAGGAAAAAAAATAAGGCCATTTGTAAGAATAAAAAGTTTGGGGACCTATGGACGACAAAGTGTTAATGAATTATGTTTCTTCATCCTCTTTTGCCACGACTTGAGCCTCTGTATGTGTGGCCTTGATGATAAAAGACAGAACACCTTAATCTTGGAACACGAAGGAACAGTCCAGGCAATGTTAATGAGCACTAAATTCATATATATGTGCATATTTTAAACTTCTTTTTAAAATGCTTTCTGTGTTTTGTTGGATGTGACACTATCAGAAGAATAGAGTGACGGTTTATCACACAAACATAACCCAGAGAAGTAAAAAAAAAAAAAAAAAAAAAAAAAAAAACAAAAGAGAGAGAGAGAGACAGAGAGAGTCAAACTAGCAAACAGACTGACAAATGCTTGAGGAACTGAATTAGTGTCTGTGAGCTAAGAGAGCGTCAGGAGCCCGGGGACACTAGTACTGGCTTTGCTGCGACAGTAAGTCAACTAAGAGCTCCCTCAGCTATGAAACTGGTTTATTCCTTCATTCAGCCAACATTTAATGAATATCACCCTGTACGAACCCTATGCCAGGTGCTGAGGACACAAAATGAAGGGGACAGGCCTTGACCCCCCCGCCCCAAGGAGGGAGACGGACATGCCACCAGTTAATAATACTACAAAAAGACCCTATGGAATAAAGGGCTTTCAAAAAAAGTTCAGGGATGAGCGCAGTAATTCCCAGGAGAAGTAGGGTGAGTCCAGAGAGGAGGTAACATATAAACCAAGACAGGGAGACGAGCTTCACCAGAGTGCCAGCTCTTGTACTTACTCGGCACAAAATCACCTGGAAAGCTTATGATAAAGGCAGATTTCCAGGTCCCACCCCTAGAGGGTCTAGCTCAGTGGCCTGGGGTAGGACCAAGGAATCAAAATGTCCTACAAGCCTCAGAGGTCACCTTGGCCACAATCCTTGACCCACAGGCTCACAGGCTCAGAAATACTGCCATGGGAGTGCCTGGTTAGCTCAGTCGGTTAGGTGTCCAACTTCAACTCAGGTCATGATCTCATGGTTCATGAGTTCGAGCTCTGCATCGGGGTTTGTGCTGGACAGCTCGCAGCCGCTTTGGATTCTGCGTCTCCCTCTCTCTCTGCCTCTC